ATATTTATTTAATTGCAAGTTAATATGTAAAATTTTGTGTAATTACATTTTAATTCAAATGTATCAAGTTGGTATATCATGCTTAATGAGATGACCAATAATATACTATAACTATCCTCATAGTTTTAAATATAAGATGAGTTAGACAATAATAAATGCTTTGAACTATCCTAATAATTGTATTATATAACCAATTAATAGAGTAAAAAATTATTCTTTAGAAGTTTTGAATAATCTCAATTCATCTAATTTTTATAATTGATGCTATTTATTCAATCTTAATATTACCTTGAGGTTTTTTAAATATTCCAGTCATTACTTATAAACGCTAATTATGTGTTAATACTTACATATTATATTATTTTTATAAAGCATATTTTAATCGATTATAAATATGCTTTTATTTAAAGTTTTTCATACCATCATTCTAATTACATACCTGGTTTTACTTATTTTGTCATTAATTTATTTTATATACAATTTCTTCTTTGATTTAAAATAGCAAGTGACAAAGAAAAACATAATTCAATAGAGCTTCATGATTATCCTAAAAAACCTGAAATCATATATAGAGATCAATCTACCAGCACTTACCATTATACTATTATTTCTGAAGGATATTATCTATCACCATCAATTCTTATCAAAACTCAAAAAAAAAAAAAAATTGCTATAGAATTCCTGATAATTACAAAGTTGCGATTAGTTGGAAAAAACAAAGTAAAATGTGAAATATTATATATACAATTAATTATATGTACAGGATATTAATAATAAAAGACAATTAAAGCTTTGTTTCAAAATTAAATATAATATGGATGGGTTACAAACAATTAAGTCTTGGCAAAGTGCCACTTACATAGCAAATTTATTTGCACAGGTAAAAGTTTTTTTTTAAAAAAAAATGTTTCTAATGTTTAATTTAATATTAAAAAAAAATTTTTTTAATACAAGACATATAATAATAATAGAACATCAACACTATCTGGAACTATAATATTCAGATTACAACTTAAATGTGTAGAACAAGCTAGAGATTCTCATTATCAATCTAATGTTCTTCAACCTCTTGAAAAGCTTAGTAATTCAGCAAAAAGACCTCAAATTAAACAAATTGGTGTAAAAGTCCGTGATTATATTAATCAAGAAACAACATATTTATATCATTAAGATAATGTACAAATAAAATCACTTACTATGTCAGTAGATAATCAAGATTGGATTATAGATTATTCAAAAGATAAAACATTGAAGACAATAAAAAGACAAGCATATGTTCGTGCAATGGATTATTATTATATTTCAAGAGATGCTCTTCAGTCAATAGCAAAGATGTCTTCAGAATTAAGTTGGGAATATACAATTAGTAATGAAAAGCTTAACATCGATAACATAATGCAAAATATTATACCTTTTTACATTATGAATATTAATATAGATCATTCAACAATATTTGCAACAGACAATAAAGAAATTCATATTGAAGAAGAAGAAATAATTCATAGTATAACGGAATCAGTTGGAAAGGCTTGTTACAGAAGTATAAAGAACATTTTAAAGTATATAATCCTATTTTATGTTGAAGAAGAGATATTAGATCCTAGTAATCCTTTAATTATGCTAAGAATCTCAGGAGATGATTGGAATGTAGGGTGTCAAATCAAGCATATGATGATAACATGTTCAATTTTTAATAATATTAATCATCTTCAGATACCTGAATAACATTATACTATTGTTTTATATCTCAGGATTGAAGATTACCAAGTTTTAAAAAAAGTTTTAACACTATTAATTCAAGATTTGCAAGATATTTTTCAAAATGGAATTCTTGACAAGTTCAGTAATAAGTGGAATGTTGAACTTTATTTCTCATCTGACTGGAAATTTCTTGCTTTATGTCTTGGATTGAATGTCACCAATGCAACATATTTCTGTCCATATTGTAAATGTACTAAAAAGGAAATTGGGTTATATAATAAATCCTGAGACAAAAAAGATATGAAAATGCTTATTAATAATTATGGCTCATGTTCAGGACATATTCAACAGCCATTATTTTTTATGATACCATTGGAAAACTGGATTCCAGATGAGCTTCATATATTTCTTAGAGTTACTGATTATTTGTGGAGTTTAGTACTGGCTGAGATTGATATTAGTAATAATGAAATCAGAAGTATTATATGTGAAGAAATGAAACAGATTGGTATCAATTTCTATTTCTGGCAAGAACATAATTCATGCATATAGAATTTTACATCTTTAACAGATGATAAAAAGCTTAAAATGCTTTGTGAATTTAATCTTACTAAACTTTTTAATCAGCAAAGAGCTATGCTCATTCGACAACTTTGGAATGAATTTTATTATTTTTATAAATTATTGCATAATGTAGAAACAACCAAAGATTTATTCGAAAACAAGGTAAAAAAATGGATAGAATTATTCTTAACACCAACATCAGGAATACCAAATACAGCAAAATTTATTAAGGGACTTTATAAACCATCAGATGTTATGCCTTATATGCATCTTCTTTATAATCATATTCCAAGTATGATTCAGAATCACAACAAATTAGGAATTAGGTCATTTTCTTGTTCACCAATAGAAAAAAAAATCATCAACAAATAAGTTTTTTTTTTAATAAAACTTTAAGAGATGGTGAAAATAAAACACAATCATCAATTCTAGCAATATTATAATAAGAAAACAGATTATTATATTATATAAGAAATCAAATACTATTAGCTTTTAAAAAATCTAAACATGTCTATATTAAATAGAAATTAATTTTCATTTAGTAATAAGATTTCTTAAATAATTAATAAATAATTTTTAATTATTAATAATTAACTAAGTTATTAACTAAAAAATTACTTAAAAATATGTTGTATAATAAATTAATTAAAAATATTTAATATTTATTAAAATTTTTTTGTATACATACAATTATTTGAATTACATTTAATATGCAGTTATTAATATGATTATATAGACAATAATTAAAATTATTAATTATTACTAACTATTAGATAATAACTAATTAACTAAATATTTGAGAATTATATTACTAGCATTATTCTCTAATAAATTAATAAATTGTAATTAATAATTAAGGCTTAATATTGTTATAAAATAATATTTAATTATCTTTGAACTTGATAACTAATAGTATCAACCTGAAATTTGATTGCAATAAAACCCGTAGAAATTGTATTCTGATGAGAATCAATTATTGTTTCAGTATACCATTCTACTTTTATTTCTGGTTCTTTTTGAAAGTTTGATAGTGATGAAGTATATAATATACATATGCTTTTTGATCAAACTCATACCAACGTCTACTCCATTCAGTATCTTGCAATATTATTGCTATTGTTGTATCAGCACTTTGATCTTTAAAAAGACATGTATATTTTCTTTTGCAAGGTGAGTATCGTTGAATCCATGGTCCAAATACATCAACAAATTGACTTTCGTTATATGGAATTTTAATTGTTTGTCTTCTAGTTTTTTTAAAATTAAATGGTAATCTTTTTTTAATAAAAAAGATTAAGGTTTCATGAAACTGTTGAATAGCATTTGACGACAAATTAGAAATATTAGGTGATGATGTTTTGTAATCATAATGCACAAGAGTTTCGTGTTAATAAAACCCTCTTATACTTTTAAAATGTTTTACTTTACATAAGGTGCATTGATAGAACACAGATACTTTTTGATTTTTAGAACTTTCGTTATTTGCATTCGTTATAGCAGAAAAGCTTGACAAATTCATGGCTAATAATATATAAGAAATTAATGGTAAAAAAATACCAAGTTTTTAATAAACATGTACATGATTGATTTGTTTAGTAAAGATCACTAACAAAATCACAGAAAAAGTAATTGGTTAAAGGGTGAGGTAATCGGTTAGACACAATCTCTACTATATGATCTTTTAAATTTAGGGTACTATATAATGACAGACATGTCATTTGACGGTCTAGAATCTAATAATTTGAGAGATCTTTGATCAAATTTTATCAGTTTTAGTGACCAAAAAGAAGGTCCAATAATCAAAATTAGCCCTAACGTATAGAACGAATTGAAAAAAAACTTGAGAGAGGATATCTCAGCAACCGCCTGATCAAATTCGATGAAAGCTTTTTTATTTGAACTTTATGATTAAAAAAATTCAAATAAAAACATTTCATCACATTTCAATCAGATAATCGGGCATGCAGTGATCTACAAATTACAGTCGACCCTCCATAAATGCACCCTCTATAAACGCACACACTATGTATACCCTCTCTAAATGCACACTAATCTTCGGTTCCGAGCATAGAGCACTTAATAAAATGCCCTCCATAAATGCGCGTTTAAAATTTTTGCCTATAGTCCCAAGGGGAGCGCATTTACGGAGGGTTGACTGTATACAGTAAATTAAATGTAGTTATGAATATTTTGTTTAAGTCTGTTAAATTTGAAAAAACTTTTATTATTGACTATTTAATTTAGACTGGTATAAGCTCTTTAGTAGTAGAAGATCCGAGTTCATTGCTGGTTTGACGATGTGTAATCCCTTTTATGTAATTTATTAATTTAATTGCATGAGATTTCCAGTGTTGACTGTTAGCATTAAAATCATTAATTTGATTCGTTAATTTTCCACGAATAATCGGATATGTATCACTTCATCGATAATAATTGTTAAGAGGCAATTCGTTTTTGAAGGGCTAAAATTTGTCAATTTTTATAATAACGATACACAAAATCAGAGTTTAGAGTACTATTTGCAAGTATTTTACAAAAATGGTGATTCACTACATATGAAAGTTTATTATTATTATTATTATTATCAAAGCTGTAGTCAACTTTTCTGATTTTAGTGATAATAAAATCATCAAAATTGGTTAGAGATATTTGTTCAATTTTTATTATTGGGTATGTTCGGCATTTCGCTTCTATATAAAGCAAATAATAAAACTGTACCGATTTATATATATATATATGTACAGTACTAGGTATTGATATATTGATATGTTAGGCCACACAAAATTGATTTTAGTTTTACATAATTTTCTGAATGCCAATTGTTTTATTTGGATCAACAAAAAAAAAACAATTCAACTTATATTAAGAACATTGGTCGTATATATGCAATAGTTATATCTTAAATAGTTGAGTATAAGCGGAAATGAAATTGGGACACTTCAAGAGCACGGAACCTAGTGATCATTGCAACACGTGGAAATATATAATAACGTCATTTGTTAACAAACCGGCCTAACCTAACGCTATGATGTGATCATCACGAAGGTATCACTGGGTTCTGTATTCTCCGCTTATACAAATAGTACCCAGAGTATAACTGATATATACACTACGATTTTAATATAATGACCAGGGTATGTCGATTACTTATTGTTATCTGGCTAAGTCACGTGCCACGTGACACGGCTAACCAAATAAGGGTGACCCGGCTAGAAAAATCAGAAT